TTTCTCTCTCTCTCTCTCTCTCTCTCTCTCTCTCTCTCTCTCTCTCTCTCGCTCTCTGTGTGTGTATACACACACACACACACACACACACACACACACATACTGTATACACATACACACACACACACACACACACACACTCAGGTTTGTTTTTATGGTTTATGGGGACTCTCCATAGGCGTAATGATTTTTATACTGTACAAACCGTATTTTCTATTGCCCTACACCAACCCTACCCCTAAACCTACCCCTTACAGGAAACTTTCTGCAGTTTTAGATTTTCAAAAAAACTCATTCTGAATTATTTATAAGCCTTTTGAATTACGGGGACACTGAAAATGTCCTCATAAATCACCTTCTCGTTGTAATACCTATGTCATACCCATGTTATTATACAAATTTAATAAAACATAAACCACATAAACATGCACACACACACACACACATATATATATATATATATATATACTGTATATATGTATACCTGTAAATAACACTATATTTATTTGTCTGTGTTCACTAATTGTATTCATTTTAAAGAGATGGCTGATGGCAGTAGATGTATGGCTTGTGCTATGTTATGTTGAAAAAAAATCAATGTACAGTTGACAGTACAAGTGGTGCCGTGCTATATCTAAATAATAGGGCTCTCAATTTAACGTTAATTTGGAGTGATAAAGTATGGGGAAAAAATTATGTGTCCTCATTATTAATGCATTTAACGCATTCTGCCTCGGCCTAGACCTGTACATCTTCTTACATTGCATGCAGTTGACAACATAATGATGACTAACTCCATGTAGCCTCTTAAGAATGCATTTGTGTCCTGTATTTCATATCACAAGATATAGTTTAGCGATATCACACAAGCAAGAGTGTTGTTTTTCTGCCGAATACAAAGATTTTATTGGGCATCTATAAGAAAGAGATTCCTACCTGATTACAAGTGCTGATGTCTACTCCGCCCTTCAAATACTCCAGAACCTTGTCAATATTTCCTGCTCTTGCTGCTCGAAGGAAACTGGTATTGCTGTCCGACTAGAAGAAAACAAAAAAAAGCAAAATTACATCATTAGTACAGGTTAACATCTTTATTTACATTTATTAATTTAGCAGGTGCTTTTATCTAAAACAACATACAAATTCGGAATACAACAAGTGATTCGTCTTAAGAAGACAATAGCACAAGTGCTCAGAAATATGTGCTTAAAGCTTTCACATATCTTACAGGATAGTACAATCTAGAACAGGGAGGGATAAGGGGTATAAGAAAGAGTGAAATTATTATTTTTTATTTAGCAGGATACAGTTAAGTGCTCACAAAAGAGATGAGATTTCAGCTGTTTCTCAAATATTGTCAACATTTTAAAATATTTTTTCTCTGAATTACTAGTCTGCAGTAACGTTCTGAACATTAACTCACTACAAGTAATGTTTGATGTGGATAAAGGTGGATTTTTGAATATCCTGTTCTATAGAAATGGGCATCATGAACAACATACTTAAAATAAACAGATAAAAAGATTGAAATGCATAAGGCTATCAAAAATGTTTAAGAACTCTAGTGGTTGATGCAAAGATAGATTTGTAAGGAGCAACTAAAAAAAAACATTGCAGACTGCATAAAACTGCAATGCACCATTAGTACCTCAGCAGAAAGATTGCAGGCACTCAAATCTTTTATAAACAGCAGACAATGAGTGAGGAACCACACAGCACACTTAGTGAACTGAGTATATAAATGTGAAGCATATGCAGAGCTTCAGAGAGAAAATTAATTCAGTGAGTGAGTGTTTATGAGCAAAAACAGTTACAGAAGTACATGCATTGTGCATTTGTTTTTAAAGGGGTCATATGATGCTGCTAAAAAGAACATTATTTTGTGTATTTGGTGTAATGAAATGTGTTAATGCGGTTTAAGGTTAAAAAAACACATTATTTTCCGCATACTGTACATTATTGTTTCTCCTCTATGCCCCGCACATTCTGAAATGCGTCGATTTTTACAAAGCTCATCGGTCTGAAAAGCGAGGTGTGCTCTGATTGGCCAGCAATTCAGTGCGTTGTGGTTGGCCGAATACCTCAAGCGTGTGACGGAAACGTTATGCCCCTTACCATATTGTGATGCCCTGTCCGGCCGGAGCGACGAGACAAAAACATTAAAATCCATTATAAACGAGGCATTTGTTGCATCCAGTGGGGACATAATTACGGATTATAATGACTTATACTGTCTTTTTACGCGTTGCATTGGATCGCGCCGCGTAAACATAAAACCATGTCTGCATTTGTGATCGGAGAAATTACAAACAACAAG